AAATAGGGGAGGGAGGGTGGGGGGTGGGAAGCTGGGGAGAGATAGCTGGGGGAGAAATGCCAGATGTAGGTGATGGGGAGGAAGGCAGCAAATCACACTGCCATGTGTGTTCCTATGCAACAATTTTGCATGTTCTTCACATGTACCCCAAAACCTAAAATGCAATAAAATAAATAAATGGGAAAAAAAAAAAAATTACTTCCACAGCATTGATAGTTAACCTTTATATAGTGTACCAGTTTCTCCTGGAGGCTTTACAAACATTTTATTTAATCCTTAACTATTTAAATCTTAAATATTCTTACTGTAAGTATAAATATAAATTTTAGTTGAAAGTAGAATATAATAGTCCTGCTAGATTTTGGTAAGACCTGTTTTTTGTTATAGTTTGATTTAGAATAAAAATGTGAAGTTTGAACTATTCTTTGCTTTTCAAAATGACTAGGCTTATCTTTATTATGAAATGAATGCTTTTAAAGTGATCTTAGTTCTTTTTTTGAAGAAAACTAACAAAAATGGGACAAAGAACAATTCCAGAAATTCCTCTAGAAATTTCAACCCTCCACAATAAGTTAGGCACTTTTTGGATAAGAACTGACTTTGAAATGTTTTTAGCTGATGATAATATGTGAATTATCTACTTTTCCTATTGTGGTGGAGGGAGCATGGGTGAAAACTAAGGGTGTCATTTTGTTATTAATTTATTTCTAACTAAAGAAGTTAGTAAGAGCTGAAACTCAAATTGGACGGTTCATTTTATTTTTCTGTTCACCATTCAAATTGGTAAAGTGGTAGGTCCAATCTACACCTAAAGCAAGTTTTTAGAATTAAACATAGTATTTATTTTAATTACCTATGCTACCTATTCCACAAGACCAAGAAAAATGGTTGGCCCATAACATTTTATAGGTAAAATTTATGTGAAACTGATGGTATGGAAATGTCCTACTTATTCTCTCTATATAATTAGTAATTCACAACCAGTCGCATTGAAGCATGACTGAAGGTAATAAGGCAGACATAGTTGATGGTGGATGGCTCCTGCTATGTTTCTTTCATTTCCTTTCACCTAGTCTGTTTCATTGAGTCCATGCTCTGGAAGAGACACTATGTCAGAAGAGGAAACTGGTGAAGGGGCTGCATAAGTCACCTAAGAAAAAGTCATGTTTATTCAGCCATAGCCATGTAGCCTCCATTTCATGAACTCAGCACAGAACAGTTTCTATACTTATGTCTTTTCCCTCCTCCCGTTTCTGGTTGTCTGGCCCTGACAGGAGACAGAGTTCAGCAACACTAACACGGAGGTTATTAGATTATGAACTCACACTGGTAGGCACCGTGTCTCTTTTGATCCTCACATATCGCCAGGCTCTAAACTGTTGCCTGGCAACTAGCAGATCCTCAGTACATAATTGTTGAAGGGTAGAATACACGCATGCCTGAATGCACACATGCCTGAGTCAGGCAGGCAGAGAGGGAAGGAGGAAGCCCCTGAAGTCCCAGCTGCCCTGTGACCTTGTGCAAGCCTTTTCATCTCTCATTGCCTCGGTTTCCTCACCCAGGCTGGGAAATCCTGGAATGGAGAACCAAGGCGTGTTCTCAGTGTGTGAGTCCTGTACCTGGTTTGACTGTAGTCACCTCTTCTCCAACACTCTCCACAATGCCGGCTGCCTCATGGCCTAAAATCGCAGGAAGTGGGGTCACCATGTTGCCACTAACCACGTGGTCATCTGAGCGACAGATTCCTACAGCCCCTATCTACAGAGTGAAGAGAAGATGTTGAGATTCAGGAAATATTATGAATCTCAGATGAATTTAAAAATCCCAATTTCCTGAAATTGTGCTTCCAAATTGTATTCAAGAATTTTGCTAATAATCCCTACTATTCCCAAATAGGAAAGATTCAGTTTATCCCCGAGGTTAACCAGGCTAAAACCCTCCTCTACCTTCCTTTCTTGAATTAAACAATTGAGAATGATCTGTGAAATAACTGATCCTGAAATTAAGTCTTAAGTAATATACAAGAATGCATACTTCATAAGAACAGAAGTAGAAATAGCAAATCAACACATAAAAAATCTACTGCCAATTGATTTTGAAGTCTTGATGTATATCTGTTCAAATATATTTTCTGTGCAAACACATAAATTCTTTTGTATTTTATTGGAATTATACTTTATGTACTCTTTGATCACTGTTTAAATATTCAATAATTTATATTTATACCTTTCCTTGACAACAAGTATATTCTATTTTCTGGATGATCACATAAAAAATGACTAAGATTTTTGGTTCTTTCCATTTTTAAATTTTTCTGAGATTTTTAGACTTAAATACAAATGGAAAAATGTATTTCACCTTAATACGAACTTCATGGGCCTTAGGAGGTGCCACCTCCACCTCCTCAATGGAAAAGGGTTTGTTTAACTCCCACAGCACAGCTGCTTTGCATTTGATTACCTAGAAAATCAAACAGAGAGATGGTACCAGTGTTTTCCCACTCTTGACATCAGAAATTGTGTCATTTCATCTTTGTACTTGCAGCATCTAGTCCTATGTCTGGTTCCTAACAAGTCCTTCATGGAAATGATCACCTCTGATTTATGAAGAGAATAAAAACATATTTTATAAAAACAATAATATAAGGAAAGATAAACAGAGTTAACTATAACAACACACTGAGGTAAAATGGAATATATTCATGAAGGCCATCCTCATGTTGTTGTTTTTTTCTCCCAAGGTGTTTAATCCTGACATTTCCTAATGCTGTGCTGAAAACGTTTCTTTACCCGCAACTATTGGCTGGTACATGAATTTCTAAGTCACTTTCATTTTGCTGACGGAGTCAGTGTGTGTTAATAAAATACACTGCTTTCTTGCTCAATTTTCTGCTTAGACCCAAAGGATCTGACTCTGTAAGATATATTTATCTTACTGCCTAGGATGATGTCTCTTTCGCTATTTGCCTATTCTCCTCTTTTACTTTTCTCTCTCCACCACTTCTATGTGTGACTTGTTCCAACACCCATTTGCAGCTTAGCTTTCAGAGCCTATTGTGTTATCGATTTGTGTGTAGAGACTCCTTCCAGCTTTGATTTGAGCCCAAAATTACAGAGGTTAGAGTTGGTGGTGGTGGTGTGTGTGTGTGTACAATCAGACCCATACATACATATTTCAAAATTGGAGACATTGTGTTTGAATTTCTAGCTAGCAGATCTTATCCATAGATGTTTTTAAAAATAAAAGTTGAACATATATTTCCAGTGCTTGTCAGTATACTGTAACATTTGTCTTCATGTGGTTAAGCCTGTACAATTCACAGAACTTTTTCTAGAGAAAATCAACAAAATTGCAATTATGATAAAAATTCAATTGAAATTTATTCTTCTGACAATTTATTTTCATTATTTATTTGTCAAATTATTCAACTTTGCAGGGTGTTGAACACGGTCAATGCCAAAATAAATATCATAATACTTGGAAGGAAGGTACTAATAGCAGGAAGTTTCTGATTATCAGGTGCCCATGATGTGATAGGCACACTGTGGCCTGTGCTGGGTGAGTGATATGCATTATGTTTATTTATAAAATTTATCTTTAATTTCAATAGTTTTTGAAATTAAACTATTTAATTTGACTGTAGTCAAATTAATTGACTGGTTACCTGGGTAGGTTCTTTAGTGGCAATTTCTGAGGTTTTGGTGAACCCTTCACTCAAGTAGTGTACACTGTACTCAGTATGCAGTCCTTTATCCCTCACCTCCGCCCTCAAACTTCCCCCTTGAGTTCCCAAAGTTTCAAGCCAGTGGATCTTAGCTTTCTGGTCTTCATAGGGGGTGGAACCTGCCAAGCCAGATCATTTGGCTGTCTGGCTTCAGCTCCCTTTTTCAGGGGAATGAGTGGTTTTCTCTCTCTGGTGTTCCAGGTGCCACTGGGTATGAGAAAAAACAAAAAACTGCTGTGGCTAAAATGACCACCCAGTTTTGTGCTGGAAACCCAGCGCACCGGCAGTGTAGGCACCTGAGAGGATCTCCTGGTATGCAGGTTGTGAAGACCATGGAAAAACACAAGGGGTGGGAGAACTCCCTCTCCTACCAAAGGGAAGCCATTAGGGACTTCTGCGCACTGGAGCTGTTCCTATTTGGCCATCTTGGTGGAAATTCCACAATATTCATTATTTTTAAACCTCTCAAAGATGCTACCAGGACAGTATTATTGAATTAATTGGCTTTATTTTACAGCTGAAATAGTTGAGGATCAGTTGATTCAGTGATAAATAATTTCTGAAGTATCAGTGATTAAATAATTTTTCTGCAATCTTTTCCAGAGAATAAAGATGAATCTAGCCTTATGTTTTTTCTACTCTGTGGCAATAAAACATTAGCAAAAAGTTAAATAGAAACAATAATAATTGTGGCTAATATTTATTGACTTGTTTCTATCTACCAGATACAATTTTAATTTCTTTATAGTATTAATTTATTGAATTGTCATAACACAACCACCTTATGAAATAGTGTTGTCAACATTCAGCATTTGAGGAAAATAAAATGCAGGACAGATAAACATAAATGAAATGCTGACAAAAGTCTAAGTTATTGATATTGTGCCCAGGAGGGGAGGATTAATTACCGATTTCATCAGTTATTATTTTTGTTAATATGATTGGTTTATACTTTTGTTCTAGGAACTCATTGTTTCTTTTGAGTTTGGTAAATTTAATTTTTTTCCTAATTATTTTCTATGTGGAATGTACATATTAATCAGTAATGAATGAAAGTAAAGTGAGGTGGAATAAGAACAGTAACAATGAGGCACTCATGTGATTTCTAACCAGGCTTATTAATATGAGCCTGTTTTCTCACAGAATGTACAGATAAGCCTCAGAACCTTTAAACTGAATTATCATAGTAATATATTTTACTGTGTGATATACTCCTAACACAAAAAAAGGTCTGGAAATAGTTGCACAGGCTTATGTGATTAAGCAATTAAAAAAATTAAAAATGTCAATTGATCATATTGTATGACAACATGCATATTTGTACACCTGTAAACACATCGAACAAGTAAGAAATTTATGGAAGGCAAAACCAAATATCTGTGTTCCTAATGCTAATTGTATTATTAATTTTCTGTAAAACCGTATTGACTTTCATATGGAGAAGACACTGTTCCATAAGATTACTGTGGAAATTGCCTAAATTTTGTCATACTGAACCTTTTTTTTTGGAGTCAGAGTCTCTCTCTGTCACCCCAGCTGGAGGGCAGTGGCGTGATCTCAGCTTGCTGCAACCTGTGCCTCCTGGGTTCAAGCGATTCTCTTGCCTCAGCCTCCTGAGTAGCTGGGATTACAGGGGCATACCACCATGCCCAGCTAATTTTTGTATTTTTAGTTGAGACAAGGTTTCACCATGTTGGTCAGGCTGGTTTCAAACTCCTGACCTCTCGATCCACCCACTTCGGCTCCCCAAAGTGCTGAGACTATAGGCCTAAGCCGCTGTGTCCGACCACTGAATCTTTTTAAATCACAGTTTGAATGTTGATGTTGTCTTGCTTAATCTTGATGATTCTAATGCTGTGAGACCAATAAGCAGTTTGTAAGGTATTTTCTGTTAAGGTTAAAAGGGTATTTCAATGTCTTCTAAATCAAATCCTCTCATAAAACTTTCATCAGACTTAACTTTCTTCTTTTCATGAAAAAATGAATAGAAATAATACATTTAAATGATGTTACTTAATATAAAGAAAGCTTCTTGATGAAAGACATTTCTAAATTTGGCTTTACAAATTAGTCATGATTAGCTCGGAATAAACAATCACTTTACTTTAAATGTACTTAATGTAGGAAATAAAGACTTAATAGATACAGATTCTATACATTCTATCTGAAGGTCTTTAAAGACAGCTTATTTCCACTGTAGTTTAGTATACATTACATATTGTAGCATATATTATGTATCATGTTTCAGTGTATCATTTCTAATTTAGATGTGAATTTTAAATTGTTCATCAAATACTGTATTTCTTTCTTTGTTCTATTGATGAGAATATATTTCCAACAGTAATGTATATGTTGCTTACTTTTCCTGCCGTGCTCATGTTGTTTCTGTCTTCTCTGCAGACCAGGAGATGGGTAAGTCCTTGCGGATTTCTTCCCTGCTTAAGTGCATAAAGCAGGTATATTGCACAGGTATTTATGTTTGCGTGAGTAATACCCAATTCCAATTTTACTTGTGATCAAGTTCTTTAAGCCACACCCATTAGATTGTTCTCAGACTGTCAAATCATAAAGAAAGGGCACTGAATCATCATTTAAAACATTGATCTTTCCAACATCAGGTAAGATTTTATTATCATTAGGTTAAATATTAAGTCGAAGTAATAAATTTTAATCACTTTATCTTTTCCCCACTTTATTCCTCATCTGTCGAATTTCTTGTTTCTCCTCTCTGATTCCAACAGGGGTCATTCAGGGTTCTGTTTTCCCTTTCTCTGCTCTAAGCTCTAGCTTTGAATGCAAATGGTGCAGTTAAGAAGAAGGAGGAGCAAAGGAGCAAGTTAAATAAAGATGACAGCAAGGAGCCAGAGGACTCAGTGTTTGATCCAGGACTCCCCTTCTCTTCACAGAGAATCAGAAATTCAATCACAGCAAAGGTGCTCACCATGCCAGGAATGTTTACTCCACCTAAAACCAATCATCAATGATTCATCCCCTCCCTGTGTCAGGCACTAAGCTGGGTCCAGTGGATGGCAGTGATGAATAAGGCATGACCTTTACCCAGCCATGGGCAGTATGGGCAGCAATGGCTTTTGGGACATAGCAGACCCTATTCTTTACTAGCTTTGTGTGCTGGCACTTATTATTTCACTGTTTTCTTTTCGGAGACAAAGTCTTGCACTGTCACGCATGCTGGAGTGCAGTGGTGCAATCTCGGCTCACTGCAACCTCCACCACCCAGGGTCAAGCGATTCTCCTGCCTCAGCCTCCTGAGTAGCAGAGATTACAGGCAAGCACCATGATGCCTGGCTAATTCTTTGTATTTTTAGTAGAGATCGGGTTTCACCATATGGGCCAGGCTGCTCTAAAAATCCTGACCTCAAGGGATCGCCTATCTTGGCCTCCCAAAGTGCTGGGATTACAGGCGTGAGCCACTGTGCCCACCCGTTTTTTTCCACTTAGTTTCTTTACTGTAAGATGAAAAGCAATAATAGCACCATTTTAAAGTACTGCTTAGTGAATATAGCACAATTTTAAAGGACTATTTAGTGAATATAGTATCATTTTAAAGGACTGTTTGGTGAAGAAAATGAAATAATCCGTGTAAAGCACTCATCATGGAGTTTAGACAGTAGGAACAGCCTCCTAAATGTTAGCTACAATTATGATTCATAAAAGGAAGCTCAAAGTCTACGGGGAAAAGACACATAGGGAGCCAAGTCTACATGTCAGCCTGGCTGGGAAATGCCCTATCACAGGGGTCAGTCAGTGCTTTGGGAGTAGAGACAGAGGTGCTATTTGGAATGAAGGACTTGGGGAGGCATGGTAGAGGGACAGGTGTTTGAGGTAGATTTTAAATAATTGTGAGAAATTCAGAAAAATCCTCACTGGATCATTTCTATTGCCCTTTGATCAATGTAACTAGTATATGCATGGCTTTCCAAGAATACGAGTTTGATTTTTCTTTTATCCACACTTGGAGGCATTGTACAGGCAGCTATTTAATCAGATGTAGTCTTTCAACATGAACAAGTCAACATAAAGGACATATTTCTCTGGAATTTCTAGGAAACTTTTCAGTAAGCTTTAATTGTGTAGGCACTGAGACTCACACCAAGACTGAGAAACATTCACTTAATAGAGAAGAAAGGGAGGTCCTATGATTTTAGTTGTGTCTGAAATGTATCAAGGTAAGAATATAGCCTCAGATCTGATGTTTGGCATTCAAGGCTTCATAATCTGGCTTTAACCTCATCCGCCTATTCCTCCCCATTCTCCAATACAAGGCCTATGTGTTTTAGACGCTTGTATCTCCATGGTCCCCCAAAGAAGAATGAATTCCTGACTCAAGCCCTTGCCCATCATGCTCTCTCTCTTCTTTTCTGCCCCTCTTGCCCATTCAAATCCTACCCAAACTTTGAGAACCAGGACAAGGTCACCCTGGTGGAGATATATTAACTCCATCTCACTGCTGTTCTTTGTGTCTCTGCATTCCTGTCAAGCTAGCATCCCTCCTGTGGTTTAGGGCCTATTCCCTTTTGTTGCCCTTTATATTTAGTGTAGAGATCAGTCTCACAAATTCTACAGGAAATTTCCAGTTAGGAATGTTCTTAAATTTCATTGATATCATCAACTGTACCTAGTTTAATATATACAGTAGATGTTTAATGAATGATTGTTGAATTCTTGCGCACATTTATGTTAAACAGACACTGTTCTATGAGAGTCTCATAATCCAGGAGATCCGGTGTCTCCTATTTAAGGGTTTACAGATTAGCAGTGGGATTGGCCATGGTCAGGTAGACAAGACAGAGAGCCTTCCTGTGAAGCAGGAAGTGGTCAGTGTCAGGGAAGACTTTGACATGGAATTCAAAAGAGGAAGACCCTACGCTATCTTTTCATTACGGATTCTCTGCTCTTAACTCAATGTCTGGCACAGAATGAGTGCTCAGATACTTGTTGATTAAATTTAAGGAATGGTTTCTACTTTGAGAATGAGGAAGTCTTGAAAGAAAGATATTTTATTAAGATTTATCAAGAAAAATAGGTCATCAGGAGGCAAAATGGAGGAAGAAGGCAGGACTAACTTGCACCTGCCACTTGGAGGAACAGAGCAGCTTGTGGAGATCCACATCATGAACATTTGCTCCAACGACTCCCACAGGAGGATACCAGGAAAGCAGAGAGAATCCTCAGATACTTTGAAGGAGATGGATTGCTGCTGCAGGGGATAGCAGAGGAACTGCAAGTCAGCTTGCTTTCTCAGTTGGGAGGCTAGTAGCCTGGGACGGTCTCTCGGCTCTGCTCATTGGTTGCCTGGAAATAAACTCATTGCTGTTGGGGGTTCACGGTGGCAGTGAGACTGGCCCTTTAAACTGTGGGCTGCATGGGAGTTGTGCCTGCCAGCTTTCCCCTACTCCCCTGGTGACCTGTGTGACACAGCAGAGGCAGCCATAATTCCCCTGGGACCATAACTCCATTGGCCTGGAAACCACACCCCTATCCCTCAAAGAAGCTGCAGCAAGCCCTGACCAGGGATAGTCTAAGCTCAGACATGCCTAACCCTGCCCCTAGCTGGTGGTCTTTTTCTACCCACGGTGGTAACTGAAGCTAAAGTAAATAATCTCTTGGGAGCACTATGGTCCTGCCCACCACCTGGTCCTCCCATACTACCATAGCTGATGTGCTTCTGAAAGCTCCACTTCCTGGCTGGAGGCCAACCAACACAAAACCAGCACACTTAACACAAATGCACCCAAGGACCCTCACAGAATCCACTTCATTCTCCTGTTACTTCCACTGGAGCAGGTGCTGGTATCCATGGCTAAGAGACCTGAAGATGGATCACATCACAGGACTCTTTGAATACACTCCCTAGTACAAGCCCAGAGCCAGGTAGCTCCACTGGGTGGCTAGATCCAGAAGAGAAAAAGCAATTACTACAGTTCAGCCTTCAGGAAGCCCCATCCCTTGGGAAAAGGATACAGCACCACATCAAGGGAAACTCCCATGGGACAAAAGACTGAACAGCAGCCCATGAGTCCTAGACCTTCCCTCTGATGTAATTTACCTAAATGAGAAGAAACCAGAAAAACAATTCTGGTAATATGACAAAACAAGATTCTTCAACACCCCCAAAAGATCCCACTAGATCACCAGCCATGGATCCAAATCAAGATGAAATCTATGGATTGACATTAAAAGAAATCAGAAGGTTGACTATCAAAGCAATTAAGGAGGCACCAGAGAAGGTGAAGTCTAACTTATAGTAATAAAAAAAATACAGGATATGAATGGGAAAATATGCATTGAAATAGATAGCGTAAATGAAAAACAATCAAAACTTCTGGAAATGAAGGACACACTTAGAGAATTGCAAAATGCACTGGAAAGTCCCAGCAATAGACTCAAAAAAGTAGAAAAAAACCTTTCAGAACCAAAACCAAGGCTTTTAAATTAACTCAATTCAACAAGGACAAAGAAAATAGAATTAAAACAAAAGGAAAAAGCCTGGAAAAAGTTTGTGATTATGTTAAGTGACTAAATCTTAGAATAGTTGAATTCTTGGGGAAGAAGAGAAATCTAAACGTTGCAAAACATATTTGAGGAAATAAACAAGGAAGACTTCCCTGGTCTTGCTAGAGATCTAGACATCCAAATTTAAGATGATCAAAGAACATCAGAGAAATTCATCACAAAAAGATCACCACGTAGGCATATAGTGATCAGGTTATCTAAAGTCAAGACAAAGGGAAGAATCTTAAGAATTGTGAGGCAAAAGCAACAGGCAACCTATAAAGGAATACCTGTCAGATTCACAGCAGATTTCTCAGCAGAAACCCTACAAGGTAAAAGGGATTGGGCTCCTATCTTTAATCTCCTTAAACTTAACAATTACCAGCCAAGAATTTTGTACTGAGCAAAACCAAGCTTCATAAATGAAGGAACGATACAGTCTTTTTCAGAAAAACAAATGCTGAGGGAACTCATCATTTCTAAGCCAGCACTATAAGAACTGCTAAAAGGAACTCTAAATCTTCAAACAAATCCTGGAAACACATCACAACAGAACCTATTTAAAGCATAAATCTCACAAGATCTATAAAACAACAACACAATAATAATAATAAAAAAAAAAGCAAGAAAGTATACAGGCAACAAATGGCACAATGAATAGAAGAGCACCTCACATCTCAATACTAATGTTGAATGTAAATGGCCTAGATGCTCCACCGAAAATATGTAGAATGGCAGAATGGATAAGAATTAATCAACCAAGTATCTGCTGTCTTCAAGAGACTCACCTGACACAAAAGAACTCACATAAACTTAAGGTAAAGGGATAGCAAAAGAGTTTTCTTGCAAATGGAAATCAAAAGCAAGCAAGAGTAGCTATTCCTATATTAGACAAACAAATTCTAAAGCAACAAAATTTAAAAAAGCAAAGAGAAATATTATACAATGATAAAAGGACTAGTGCAAGAGGAAAATATCAAATACTAAGTATATAAGCACCTAACACTTGAGGTCCCAAATTTACAAAGCAATTACCTACTAGTTCTAAGAAATGAGATAGACAGCAACACAATAATAGTAAGAGACTTCAGTACTCCACTGACAGCACTAGATAGGTCATCAAGGCAGAAAGCCAAGAAAGAAACAATGGACTTAAACTATAGCCTACAACAAATTGACTTAACAGATATTTATAGAACATTCTACCCAACAACTGCATAATATAAATTCTATTCATCAGCACATGCAGTCTTCTCCAAGGTAGACGATTTGATAGATGACAAAACAAGTCTCAATAAATTTAAGGAAATTGAAATTTTAGCAATTACTTTCTCAGACTACAGTGGAATAAAATTTGAAATAAACTCCAAAAGGAACCCACAAAACCATGCAAATACATGAAAATTAAATTACCTTCTCCTGAATGAGAATTTGGTCAACAGTGAAATGAAGATGGATATCAAAAATTCTTTGACTGAATGATAATCAAAACCTCTGGGACACAGCAAGGTGATACAAGGAAGAAAGTTTATAGCATTCATTAAATGTCCACATCAAAAAGTTTAAAAGAGCACAAATAGACAATCTCAAGTCCACACCTCAAGGAACTAGAGAAACATGAACAAACCAAACCCAAATCCAGCAGAAAAGAAATAAACGAGATCAGAGCAGAACTAAGTAAAGTTGAAACAACAATGACAACAACAAAAAGACAAAAGATAAAAAATCTCGTTCTTTGAAAAGATCAATGAAAGTGATAGACCATTGGCAAGATTCACCATGAAAAGAAGAGGAGGGATCCAAATATGCTCAATTAGAAATAAAATGGGAAAAATTATAACTGATACCATGGAAATACGAAAGATAGTTCAAGGCTACTATAAACACCTCTTTGTGCATAAACTAGCAAAACTAGAGGAGACAGATAAATTTCTGGAAAGATATGCCTGGAAGATTAAACCAGGAAATAATGGAAACTCTGAACTGACCAATAACAGCCCCAGACTAGAGAGACTCATAGCTGAATTCTATCAAACATTCAAAGAAGAATTGGTACCAATCCTATTGATACTATTCCAAATGACAGAGAGAAAGAGGGATCTTCCTTAAGTCATTCTATGAAGCCAGTGTCACTCTAATACCAGAACCAGGAAAGAACATAACAAAACAAACAAAACAGAACTATAGACCAATATCTCTGATGAACGTAAATATAAAAGTTCTCAGCAAAATACTAGTGACCCGAATCTAACAGTATATCAAAAAGATAATCCACCATGAAAAGTGAGTTTCATACCAGGAATGTAGGGAAGGTTTCACATATGCAAGTCAATAAATGTGATACATCACATAAAGAAAATTAAAAACAAAAATCACATGATCATATTAATAGATGCAGAAAAAGCATTTGACAAAATCCAGCATCCTTTATGGTTAAATCCTTAGCAAAATTGGCATAAAAGGGACATTGAAGGTAACAAAAGCCATCTATGACAAATTCATGGCCAACATAATACTGAATGGGGAAAAGCTGAAAGCATTCCCTTGAGAACTGGAAGAAGATATGGCTGCTGACTTTCACCACTTCTATTAAACACAGTACTGGAAGTTCTAGACAGGGCAAGCGGATAACAGAAAGAAACAAAGGGCATCCAAAGAGATAAAGAGGAAGTCAAACTGTTGCTGTTTGCTGATGATATGATTGTATACTTACAACACTTTAAATACCACTCATTCATCCAAAAAGCTCCTAGAACTGGTAAATGAATTCATCCAAGTTTCGGGATACAAAAGTAGTGTACACAAATCAGTAGCCCTGCTATATACCAACAGTGACCAAGCTGAGAATCAAATCAAGAACCCAACCCGTTTTACAATAGCTGCAAAAACAAAAATTAAATACTTTGGAATATACCTAACAAGGGAGGTAAAATACCTCTGCAAGGAAAACTACAAAACATTGCTGAAAAAAATCATAGATGACACAAACAATTGGAAACACATCCCATGCTCACGAATGGGTAGAATCAATATTGTGCAAATGACAATGTTGTCAAAAGCAATGTACAAATTCAATGCAATTCCCATCAAAATGCTGCCATCATTCTTCACAGAACTAGAAAAAAAAACTCTAAAATTCATATGGAACCAAAAAATACCCTGCATAGTCAAAGCAAGACTAAGCAAAGAAAACAAACCTGGAAGCATTACATTACCCAACTTCAAACCATAGTGTAAAGCTATATTCACCAAAACAGCATGGTACTGGTATAAAAACAGGCCTGTAGATCAATGGAACAAGGTAGAGAACCCAGAAACAAACCCAGATATATACAGCCAACTGATGTTTGACAAAGCAAACAAAAGCATAAAGTGGGGAAAGGACACTCTATTCAACAAATAGTGCTGGGATAGTTGGCAAGTCACAGGTAGAAGAATGAAACTGGATCCTCATCTCTCACCTTATACATAAACTCAAGATGGATCAAAGACTTACATCAAATAAGTGAAACTGTAAAAATTGTAGAAGGTAACATTGGAAAAACCCTTCTAGACATTGGCTTAGGCAGAGACTTCATGACCAAAAACCCAAAAGCAAATGCAACAAAAACAACAATAAATAGATGAGACTTAATTAAACTAAAAAGCTTCTGCACAACAAAAGAAATAATTAGCAGATTAAACAGACAACCCAGAGAGTGGGAGAAAATCTTGGCAATCTATACATCTGAAAAAGGACTAATATCCAAATATACAAAGAACTCAAACAAATTAGCAAGAAAAAAACAAGGAATCCCATTGAAAAGTGAACACATGGCTCCATGAAATACCAAAAGCACTTTGGCATAAACTCCATAGAATCAGGAGATCTTTCAGTAATAGCATCTGGTAACTATTCTGTGCATATGCTTTGCCCTACCTTCTAAAAGTTTAGATGGGCAGGTGGAAAGACCAGTTGTCACATTATTGAGAGTCAGTGTTCTAGTATCAGAGGACTATGGTAGGCCTGGAGCAACATCTGCAATGTACAAAGGTAACCTTATCTCTCTAGGGGTCACAGGGTATCACTCTCCTCTGCTTCTCTCTCTCTTCGTGTCTCTGTACACCAGCCCAATTCTATATTACATTACCAGCAAGTACCATATTCTAAATTCAGCTTATCCAGAGAGATGATGTGCTTGATTCAGTTTGGGTCAGTGATACCGTGTGGTAGGCAGAATAATGACCCTCAAAGATGTCCACTCCTAATTCCAGGAATTTAGGAATATGTTGCTTTACATGGCAAAAAACAGATTTTGTATATGTGATTTAGTTAAAGGTCTTGAGATGGGACGATCAGCTTTGATTAACGAGGTGGATCTAATCTAATCTGACGGCTTCTTAAAAGTGATGAGTTTTTCCTGGCTGAGATCAAAGAGGGAGACATGTCTATCCGCACACCTTAGATGGCCATGTTTGCAACAGGGGTGTGTTAATTTTCTATTGCCGATGTAACACACACCACAAGCTCTCTTGGAAGCTTAGTGGAAGGTAAGGATTTGTATCTCTAATATAATTATACAGGTAATGATGAGTAGTGCGGAGATGTGACTCCAAAGCCTCAAGAAGGACAGACCAGCATTCGTGCAAGAGATCCAGCTGTCTTCTTTTCCCCAGGAGCCCATAATTTACATGAACCTGAGAAAGAATATTGTAACTGGCAGAAATTATCTTCAGTTTAAATCCCTTATTTTAGGGGTTAAATAACTTGGTAAAATAATGAGATTAATATTATTTTAAAGGTTGCTAGAAAAAATTGTAACATTTCATGTAGATGCGTAAATAACAAACTTAAAGCTTGTTTCAGGATGAGGTGCAAAATGAATAGCAGGAGAAGGACTTTAGTAGCAGTAAATAGAACTTGAGAATGGAATAGGTAAATAAATACTCTATAGAATATTACAATAAATAGAATAAATTTTAAGTTCATAGAGCAATATTTGAAAATCCCACATTCAAAGCCATCAATTTCTACACAGCGTTTCATTTTGATTTTGGAACTGAAGCCAAAGATGTCCAGGGAGCTGAAATGCTAGCTGGTCTTGCTGTGGCCGTGGAGGTTGGAATTCTGCCAAGAAGAGCATCTGTGAGAGAGCAAAATGGCTGTTTACATTCCTCCTGTGAAGGGAGTTGGGAAATAATCTAAGAAGCCTAATCCAAAAGCAAAGATGTTCCATCCAGTCTTCTCTGTGAGAGTCAAAGGACAAACCATCTGAATGTTCCAAAAGTGTTTATATTAATGTATTTTAAATTATTCTGATAATGTACTTGGCAGAGGCTTAAAGGTGTAATTACTGAGACGACGTAGAAATACCAAGTATTTATTCAAACAATATGCAATAATACAAATGGTATGGTTGTCACAATACAAAAATATCTATAAAGTAAAGAGTTCTTTAATGGTGGAACTTTTTTTTACTTTTTGAAGTTAAAATATAAATTTTTGTAAAAAATACAAATGATTACTATCTGTAACATTTATGGAGTGCTGACTTTACTCACTTTTGTGACTACATACATTGCCTCATTTAGTGCAACATTTAGCATTAACTTGTGAGGTAAGTACCATTGCCATGCACATTTTACAGATGAAGACATTGAGGTTTAGAGAGATTGCATAAAAATGTCCCAATGGAACACAGCTAGTGGTGGAGCCAGGATTCCAGGAAGCCTAACTTTAGAGCTTAATAATCTAAAGAATAATAATAGCTAATATCCCAGTCACTCTCAGCACGTGCCAGTTGTTGTTCCAAATGCTTCGCATTTATCTATTGACATAAACCTCAGAATAACTCTATGAGGTAGGTTCTATTATTTTCACTTTATAGACACTTATTTTGTAAGTCGATGTCAGCCTGAAAGCCACTTTTGAGTTTTCTAGCCTATTTTCCCAGAACATGTCAACTTTATTTTCATTTAAATTGCTTTAGAAACAGCATGATTGTTCATATAGTCACTGGAAATGTTATTCCCAGCTGCGTATCTCTCTGAAGTGTTTGACTTACTTCCAAGTGTGGAGGAGGTGCTTTGCGTGGCCACACCTGCCATCCTGGAGCCTCCCCATCCTTGTCATGGGGAATCCCTTCTCTCTCTCCAGGGAGAGAGCAACAGCTTCTCAGATATCACATCTTTCTTTGAATTAATTATCAGTTTGGGGAAACTTCATTAGTTATCTTCTGGAGAAAAGGTACATGAAGGGGTAAATTTATTTAGATATTTTATGTTTCTATTGGATTTCTACTCTGTTGTGATGATTTTTGATTCTCAAGACATTTTTTTATGGCATGATATTCTTCTTTCATGCATATAATATCTTTTCTCTTTGCAAATATTAATAACAGCTTTTAAAAAGATTTTGTATTTTTTCCTTCATGGATTATTTCTTCCAGCTTTTTATCTTGTTTTGTTTCTATCTTTCCTATTACAAAGCTAGAATCACCCCACACATCTGATGATCTTGGTTGTCTTCTGTTGCAGGATGGGGACTAACAAGCTATTGGGAAGCTCTGAATACATGGGCGGCATCTGTGTCATGTGAGATTTGCTGTAGAACTATCTGGTGGGCTTAATTGCTGGGGAATATAATGTCAGTCAGGGTGGGTATTTTCTATTTGACTGGTCAGATTTTTCAAAGGATGATTTTGGAAGTTTCCATGTAGAAGACCCATGTCCAGCTGCCAACACTCTGGGGCCCAAGAGGGTAATTGAAAATCCAATTATAAGCCACTTGGGAGAAAAAAGGCAAAATCCGGGACTACCCAGGTAACTCCAAAAGCTTGTTCACATTAATCTTGCAAGACTACAGCCAAAAATCTATTGGATCCTGTAATAATCTCATTTTTAATAGCTCTAAAAGTTTTCTGTTAAGGCCTGTGAGCATTTTCTTATATCCAGACTTATATGTCTGCCATTGATAATTTTAGGTTCCTGAGTGATTCAGTAAGAAAAACATTTCTGTGACTCTCTGAGTAATATCATTCCAAGGCTCTAGAGGTGACCGAGATAGTTCATATTATTTTGACCTTTATTTGATCAGAAGTTTTTTTAAGTAAAATCGCAATTACGGTACCTTTAAATTATTTCACAATTACAGATACATATTAGCAGCTAGAATATTTCATTATAGCTTCTTTATAAGGGTAATAAAATAATAAATCTTATCATAACTGACAATCTCTACATCAAGTTCCTACAAATTATTTAAAAATGTGATTAACATTCTTGAAGAAGTTATTAAAGAAATTTGATTGTCCTGCCTCTATTCAAGACTCTCAAGAATATTATGTAATCATTCAAAAGTTAATGCTAGCTCTTCAACTCTTTTCAGATCCAGGTTTCTGAGGGGAACAGCCTGTTTTATACATTTCTATGTCTTTCTCCATGCTCATATAAACCTATATACTAATAAATATGAATTTTTATTTGTTTTGTTTTATCTTTCACAAAAATTGGATCATATAATACATATTAATCTGTACCTTGCTTTTTATACTTTCTGATGCATAATATTAATTTCTCCAGATTTTTAGATATAATGTTTATTTTGAAATGAGGACTTGCTTTGCTGCCCAAGCTGGAGTGCAGTGGCACCATCATGGCTTACTGCAACCTGTGCCTCCTGGGCTTCAGTGATCCTCCCACCTCAGCCTCCCAAGTAGCTGGGACTACAGTCACATGCCACTATGCCTGGCTAATTTTTGTGTTTTTTTGTAGAGACAAGTTTTTGCCATGCTGCCCAGGCTGGTCTCCAACTCCTGAGCTCAAGGGATCCAACTGCCTTGGCCTCCCATGGTGCTGGGGTTGTAGGAATGAGTCACTATGCCCAGCCCCTTATTTATTTTATAAGATCAACTTACCATTCATAATAGGGAGTTATCATTCCTTATTCTGTCAATCAATCAGAGAGTTTGTAAATTTTTGTTTCTTCTACAAGTAAGGCTGCAGCTAATAGCCTTGTTTCTACATCCTTACACACAGATACTTTTAATTACAGAGTCAATTCCCAAGGGTGATATTGCTTGGGATATTCATGTTTTACATTTTAATAAATATCAAAAATTGCCTGTCAGAAATGTATGACATGCACATTTCTACCAACAGTGTAAACTAATAGGTAAGCAGCAATTTCTTATTTTGCTTTATTTTTTGACAACTATGGAGGCTCAGTGCAATTTATGCCTTTTGGCCATTTTAATTTCCCCTCCTATGAGTTTCCATCATTGTTCATTTTCTTCTTCAGTTGTTTATATAATAAAAAAGCACCAGGATTTTAGAAACATCATTTTTTTGGTCAATCATATATGTGAAAATATTTTTTCTTTGTCTACATTTTTAGTTTATTTGTTTATACCAAAATTTGAAAATTTTCTCCATGCTCAGAATTTCATTTTAAATCTGTTCATGAAATTATTGAAGCCAATCCCCACTTTATTTGTTTTTAAATATCATGAGAAGTCAAAGAGTCAAAGCAATATATCCTCAAAACCATGTAAATTTTCTCCCTTCCCTCTTCAGCCCTGTGTCTGTCACTCCCGTAATCCTATTTCAGCACCTATGAAGACACTTCTGTGGAACACTGGATTATAGGCCTAGCCAACAATTTCTACACTGGAATACATATTTAGATATAAGTACGATCACTTAACTATGTGAGCCACTTGCCCCATAGTAAAAATTTCTTTTTTCATAGTGCATGATGCCAAAGACCCCCACATGCCACTTGCACCCCATGGAGGACTGTGCCACTCTGTGATAAAACCTGCAGTGCCCACCTAATGGCCCTCACTCTATTTGCTTCCCAAACGTGGAAGGAAGAGAGGAGGGAGCTGGATGTCAGCCTTTGTGTCACTGGCAGGATTTGATGAGCCTGTTGTGAGGTGGGTATGTAGAACATGTTCTTTTTCTGGATCAGCATCAATGTAAAGGCCGCAGAGCACCCATCAACAGGTAGTGTGCCAGGATATAATCTTAGGGACATTCTGAAAACTTTCTTGACCCTGAGTAACTCCTTCAGAATTTTCTTCTTCTTCTTTTTTCTTGAGATGGAGTTTCACTCTTGTCACCCAGGCTGGAGTGCAGTGACGCAATTTCAGCTCACTTCAACCTCTGCCTCCTGGGCTCCAGTGATTCTCTTGCCTCAGCCTCCTGAGTAACTGGGATTACAGGTGACTGCCACCATACCTGGCTAATGTTCATATTTTAGTAGAGATGGGGTTTTACCATGTTGACCAGGCTTGACTGGAACTCCTGACCTCAGGTGATCTGCCCGCCTTGGCCCCCTAAAGTGCTGGGATTACAGACATAAGCCACTGCACTGTGCCTCTCCTTTAGCATTTTTGACAAAGCAATCACGTTTTACCTACATTTACATGGCTTTTCTTAGTTGGCAAAACTCTTTCATTAACATCGTCCCATTTAATCTTGGTTAAGTTATAATGGGTTGGTTAAGTAACTTTTTCAAAACAAAGAATGAACAAGCTCAGAGAGCCTTAAGGACTTACTGAAGATCACACAGTAAATGATAAACTATTTTACTTTATGTCTAAGGTCTTTCATAATATGAAATAGATCGTAGGAGACTTCAAGCGTAAGAGCCCAGCATGGTTATGTTCAGGGCAAGTGAAGCGTCCCCTCCACTGGGATTCAATGACTGAAGATTATGAAGATACCAAAAACGCAAGAAGTCACAGGAAATATTTTTCCTCAATGGCAAAGAAGACAGAATGTTTAAGAAGGAAGGTTTATTGGCTTCAATTCCCCAGCTGTTGTTCAACAATTTATTTAGTTCTCATTTGGATTTTAAACTTTTGCTAAAAATAATTTCCCATCAATTTTCATTTACTTGGAAAGCCCCCATGTGCAATGTATTGATTATATCTCTGAAGAGCAGAATTAATGATATTGCCCACGTGTTGCTACAGATTGTGCAGAGTAGAGGAGGCTGAAGACCGCTACAAGGGAAGACATCTGTATTGTCTCAAAATATCAGGACGGTACGGACACTGCAATAGGAAAGAAGAGACATTGTGTTAACATTTAGACAACGCACAGGCTTCCATGTGAGAGTCCACGGAACATCTGAGGTGTCTTAGTGAAAATCTGTGTTCCCAGCCATCCTAGTCCCATCCCCATACATTTGGTTCAAGTCAAAGGAAGTTCATCTTTTTCGGTTTTCTCTTGTTTTTTTTTTTTTTTTTTTTTTTTTTTTTTTTTTTTTTTTTTTTCTCCAATCTTCAGCCTACTCATAACATTGAGTATGCCTGTCATTTAGACTTCAATTCTACATTAGCATCTTCAAAAATTATTTTTGTGTGCCCACATACCTGGTATAAGAAATATAAAACAACAATGGATAATAACTTGCAATAAGTTCTTGCTATTTGTCACATTCTTCA